AAAATTCGATTGTCAACCTACCTATAGTGCACATCGGGTAATGTTGATCATACATGAGAAAAATACAAGGGTTACTTCAAAATGCTGTAACTTTGTGAAAAAAAATCGTAGCGACTTGTTTTTTTTTTCAAATTAAAGAGAAATATTCCAACTTTCTAACGCTAAAAACCGCATTCCCGAGAAAAACTTTAGCAAGTCCGTGCATTCTGTCAAACTTTGCAATTTTCAGTGTGCAAACATGTTCTCAGATTTAAGAGTTTACAACAACAGAGGTGCATTAAATTTAAAATCGACTCACAGTATTTTAAAGTAGAGATTTTAAGCTTTCATTTGAAAAAAGTTCATCATTTTACGATGATTTTTCGCGGAGTTACCGTTAACCAAAGTTGCCCAATTTTTACTCAAAATTTTTCTATGCCATAATTTTTTTGAGCAGTGTATTATTATTATCATGCATGAGTCATCCGTAAATTATTTCTTGCGATAGAGCTAACAAAATGGTAATTTATTCTTTCTTATCTCTGTTCATATCACTTCATTATTTACTCATCGTTATAATGTATGGAAATAACTTAAAAAATAAAAATTCAACGACACAATTCAGAGAAGTTTTTCTTTACGGATCTGCTGATATTCAATTTTAAATAGAAAATTAAATATTATTAATACAATTTTTGTACCTGATAGCTCCTTGTCATATGTTATGAATCTGAGTAATAATTAAGAAGTTTTAGTTACGCATTATTTATATTAAAAATTATTAATAAATAAAATAAGTATTATATGTTTAATGTATACATATATCGAATAGGTACATTAATTATTAAGCATAAATACAACATAATACATGTGCATGTCTTTACTATATAACCAAATATCATTTGTATTTTTGTTTTATAACAAATAATGTTGTTACTCGTAAGAAATCAAAAAAGTTTGTAAATAATAATTAAATATTTCGACACAAATATCAACATATGTATAATTTGATATATATTCCTTATTTAACGCTATTTCATATTACCATAAATTGAATAAAGTTGTATATATTCATTGATACATTATTTTAGATAACATTTATTTAAGTAATTAAACAAAATTATTCATAATATTATGAAAAAATTTATTTAATCATTCTGCTGCAACAATGTTTTCGTGCGTCTTCAGGCGTTCTCCATTCAATATTATTACGTGTATCTAAATTTTAAAAAAATTTGTTATCTTTTTAACAATATTTTGGGAAAGTTAGTTCACATTTTGTTGAATTAAACTATTAAATTTCTTGCCTGGCTCTTTTTACTTTAAGTACGTAATATAAGTAGAAAAAAATATAAGTAGAAAAAATATTAGTGTGCTGAATGCTGCAAATATTGAAAATATTTGTAGAGTCAACGCACCATCAAATTTCTTTAACAAGGTACTTCCTATCAAATGACCAATACCAAAACCTAAAAATCAAAAATTTACATCAAAAATTTTTTTTAATAATCACTCCTATGAATAAGTGTTACTAATAAAACGTTTTATTTGATTCACACATTAAATTTATTGATTTACTGTATCGAATCCATATTATTACTTATCTATTTTATTACTTGTGAGGCACTTTTCTCAATTCGGTCCTGGATTTAACATGGTGGATGCTCACGTGATCTGGAGAAGGAAATCAAAGATGCCGACACAAAGTGTACCCACTGGTTAAGGCCTTCAGGGGCTGTCTACAATACGTCGTATGTCAGATCCGTAAATCGTAAGCCGTAAATCGTAAGAATTGACCAATCACAGTTAAATGTAAGAAAAATATTCGACTATGATTGGTCAATTATTAGTTAGTATATGAATAGTGACTAACGGCTTATTGTAAAAAGCTCCTGGAAAGGCCTTTTTACTGACGTGGTTCGACTGACAGCGTACAATCCCTTTCCTTTGTTCTGAACTGCAACCCTAAAGTCCCTAGATTATAAAGTACCGCAATCCATAAGACTCAAATTTGGAGCCAAAACGGCGCTTACATATGATTTAGCGTAATTAAATTATATAATATAAACAAGATTCTAAATAAAACATTCTAAATAAAAATATTGATTAATATAATTTATGATTTTCTTTCTTATTTACAAAATAAATTCATACACACAATACGTATGTTTTGAATAATCGCGTTTGGAGCCAAAATGGCGGATGATTGCGGTACTTTATAAATTTAGTGACATTACGCAACCCAGCCATGATGATGCGACATCTTTGTTCCTGTACCGCGCACAGAGGGAATGTCGCGCAACTTCACAAATCTTTGACTACGTATGTAGTCCCAAAAATCGTACTTTCGGCGTATTGTACGCAGCGTCGAAACACGCGAGGTGATTTTCACGCGCGGCGCATGTTAAAGCGATGCTCGCCGGATAGGATACCTATCAGGTATAGTACCAGAGCGAGGTGTGGCATTCGGCGGCGCGGCACGCGTTACGCGCATAATTCATGCGGTCCGCCGTGGTACACATGTACGAATGTACGTTTTATCGTTGTGATTCCGATAAGGAAGACGCGAGCTTGACGCGCGTGCATGCACGATACGCGCCGCAATGCTCGCGTCCGAGAATCGATATTTAATGAAGCTTACCCCCTCCCCCTCCACCCCCCGAATCGTGCCGCCTCCGCTCGTGCCGGCGGATAATAAAACTCGCGCCCGCGGGAGGAGCTTATCGCCCGACGGAATGCGAATTGACGAGTTTATCCTGAAAGCACTGCTGCTCCCTCGCGAAGCTCATTTATTACGAAAGCAGACGATACTTCCTTCAATCGAATTGAGTCGATTCAATGACCGGTTGGATTCCCAATAACAGTAGTCTGCACTGCGCTCGCAACGTTTATCTTAAAAAGATGTGTTACCTATTCCTATCTCTTGAAGAGATAGATTACTCGTTTAAAAGTTTGAAAAAATCTATTGTTTCCAAAATGACTTGACCTCTGTTCTGCTTTCGGCAGAAGACTTTCGAAGGAACGTTGCTCTGATTGTTTCGTAATCGTCCCGCCCAACATGTCAAAATATGAACAATTGTATTTTTTAAATAATTAAGTGTATTTTGAAAAATAGATTGCTATTATTGAATTTGTCTCATCCATACATTCTTTCTCTCCCCCAGCATAAAGTTATGCCGCTTTGCTATGCTAAAGTTATCCCAAAATATCTGATCACATTAATCTCCTTACTTATTTTAAGAATCTTAGAATACGAATCTTTGTGTCTTTCAAAATAAATGTTACGTATATTATATAAATGTAAAAGAACTTTGCTATATTATATAATTTTGAGATAGACGCCAAATTTGCACAATGTGATATACTGGTATGAATGAAGATTGCAGCGCTAAAAGAAAGATAAATTATGAAAGTTATAAATGGGAAAGATGGATCATATTAGAATCTCTAGTTAATTGAATTCTCCGCGTTCTAGATACATTAGCAGAAAAAATGACTAAATGTAAATCAACGCAAGGTAGATGCACGGAGCAGCGCTTTCGCGGTGTCGAAATATTGTGATTGATTAACTGCTCGGAGATTCACTCGCCGCATCGCCAGACGCGGTGCAGTTTATCAATTATTTTCTGCAGCCGATAAATCGGAACTTTCGATAATGGATCTTGACAGGAAAGGAATGGCAGGTCTCGATGAGAATTCTGCTTTTTTTTTCGTAATCGGCTATTTAATCGGTTCCTATCTATCGATCAATCTGATGATTCTCTATTAAACTTCGTTAGACATTTCGGCAGGCAATCAGCATGTGTCACAAATGTATGACCTGTATTTAGCACACGTTTACAGCTGTCTTCCAACAACTGTTCGAGAACATTATAATTAATCTCTTAAATATGAATTTATTTTATATACTTCACATTATTATTTATATTATTTATTAGTATTAAATCACGTGTTGTTATTTCTTCAATTTTTGCAGCAAAAATCAGACTCCCCCGGGTACAATTTAGCTGCATCATATACGGTATTCGAAATTTTAGTTACGAGCGATGCTTGACGATAAAATCTACGGCATAAAAGTTCACCGTGTATTAGTCGCGTCGATCATTATTGGCGCCATTTGTAAGCGACGCGTGTAAACAATGGGCGGCCGCGTTATTAATTTATTTACGGGCTCCGAGCGTGCCCCGGAAATCAATTAATATTGCCGTGCATTTTCCGTCTCCGCGGAAGGCTCAAACAAAATCATGGGCGGCGATCGGGCGAGCGTGCGGACCACACCACGGCCATGGGAAATGTATGCAAACAGATGGCTTAAATATTCTGCCCCGCGAAATGGTCATTGCGTATACGTTCAGATATTGAGCGAGAAAATACGCGGGCCATCG